AGAGGCTCTGGCTGTGAAATTCGGGCTAGAGAAGTGCAAAGAATATCTGATAGGAAGAAGGTTTATTTTATATACGGATCATAAGCCGTTGGTAAATTTATTCAAAAAAGAAAATAAAGAACTTCTGATGTCACCAAGACTACAGAAATGGTTAATTTTAGTTGGTAATTTCGATTTTGAAATAAGATTCAGAGCAGGTAAACAAAATTGTTTACCAGACATATTATCGAGATTGTTTAAAAAAGACAGTACAAACAAGGATACAGTAATCAATAGTTTAGAATATATAGAAGAGAAGGAAATATTAAATAGTAAAGTTATAAGAGCTTTGAAGATAGATACAAGAGAAGAATCAATAACGTTTGAAAGAATAGAGGAAATATCCAAAAAAGATGAAGAATTAATAAGAATTAGAACTTGTTTGAAAGGAGAGGCAGAATGGAAAGGTGAAGACAAAGCTTTTAAAAATATAAGGAATGAATTAAATATAGAAGACAATTGTTTATTGAGAGGATATCGATTAGTGATACCGATTAAGTTAAGAAAAGATACATTAGCCGTATTACATTCAGGACATCAAGGCATAGAAAGAATGAAGAATAAAGCAAGAGAATATATTTGGTGGCCTAAGATGAATAGTGAAATTGAAGAATTAGCTAGAAGCTGCGAGACATGTAACATGTGGGCTAATGTACCACCAAGGAATAAAGCAGATAAATGGTCAGAAACGGACACTCCATGTAAAAGAATACATGTAGATTTTTTAGAATATGAAAAAAGAAGTATGGTAGATGCTGAATCGAAATGGATAGATTGTCAACAGGTTTCGGGTTTAACGACGAAGATAGCGTTGACTAAAATAAAAGATTTTGCAGGTAAATATGGATTAATGGAAACTTTAGTTTCGGATGGAGGCCCAGCATTTAAAGGTAGAGTTTTTAATCAATTTTGTGATAGGTGGAATATTAAACATTTAGTATCGCCACCACATTACCCGAGAAGTAATGGGCAGGCCGAGAGAATGGTAGCTATTGTTAAAAGCTGGCTAAAAAAAGAAAAATATGGAGAGGGAAAATGGTGGTTGTTATTATAAGCATATAACAATACTAAAACAAGCAAAGGAAATTCACCATCAGAAATGTTTTTAGGTAGAAAGACAAGAACGGAATTAAATTTTTTGAAAGAAAGAATAAAGGAGGATACATATGATGATAAATTTAAAGTTGGAAGTCTAGTATGGATTCTACTGTTTGAGGGTCCAGTTAAATGGGGGAAGGGTATAATAAGTAAGAATATAGGAAAAAAGAAAGTAGAAGTAGAGATTGAAGGGCAAGAAGGCACTTTTACTAGACACGTAAAACAAGTAAGACTGAGAAGCTTAGGGCAAGTAAAAGATATGGGAGATAATTAGAAGAAATAAATTGATGATAGACATTATTATGAGAATCATATTGATGATAAACAAAATGATGAGAATCATAATTTATCAGAGGATACAATTAAAAGAAATAAATTGATGATAGACATTATTATGAGAATTATATTGATGATATACTTAATTATGAGAATCAATTGTTAAAGAGATAAATTGAGGATAGACATAATTATGAGAATCATATTGATGATAGACATAATGATGAGAATCATAATTTATCAGGGGATACAAGTAAAAGAAGATAAATTGATGATAGACCTAATTTGAGAATCATATCGTTAGATGAAAGAAAATTGATGATAGACATAATTAGGAGAATCATAATTTCAAGAGATCCATGAGGAGAATAATCATTCTCGAGGAAATAAATTTAATGATAGACCTAATTATGAGGGTTTAAACGGTAAAGAAATTATAAGGTGAATAGTAGATTATTAGAAGATTAGGAAAGATATATATTTTTATAGTAATTTTATAGATGGCATCATATGTCAGAGTAGGAAACAAGATTATCAAGATGGAAATCAGGGAAGCAGATGGATCGGCCGAATCCAACAGATGGATCGAAGCAGCAAGGGTAGAAGCGCAACAAAGATACGGAGAGTTACTACAGGAAACACCCAGAAGACAAAGGATAGAACGACGAGTGGAGCCATATTGGGTTCGGAAGAGTCGATTAGCATGTTGGGCATGCGGGGGAATGCATAAATTAAGGTTTTGTCCGACGACAACAACGTCTTCAATGAACGGTTCAGAGTTGGAAGTGCGAGAAGGTGGGGCACTAACGATGGAAGCCTTGGAAAGATAATCTTAAAGGGTGGAGGTGTTGTATGCTAATATATATTTAGTTGAGCCCTTCTTAATTGAGTGGTATACAAATTTATATAAATGAACTTTCATCGTATGCAAATAAATATAATTATTTTAAAAATGTCTATGAATATGAATATTTTAGATTATAGTTAAAAAAGAAATATATAATTTTTCATTTTTACGAAATTATAATTTTTTTGGTATATTAAAAGTGGAATAAAATAAAAAGATTTGAAATAAAAGAGAATCATTTTTGGATATTCAGTAAGATTACCAAATTCAATAATTTATATATATTGCATTATGTTCAGTCTCTCCCACTAGCCTCAGGAATATAAATATCAATCCCATATTGGTACACTATTGTTGGTTTTTCATTCATAATTCACCTTTTAATTGCGTTTTTAACATTTGTGCGCAAATCGATATTTTTAATATATGTTTCCCTTAACTTTTTAAAATTGATCCCTACATTTACATAATCCAAATAGAAAATTAGAAAAAAGAAGATATATATTTTATTAGAATGATAAGCTTATTTAAACCTATAAAACTGCAAATTAGATAACGATTTAATCGTACACAACTATTTTCATGATATATCAATATCTTAGAAAATGTAATATATATAAATATTTTTTGGCATATTATAAAAAACATTGTACGGTCTATTCATTGGATACCTTAATCGCAAATATACCAAAAAACCTGTATATTTAAAAATGTATTACAAAAGTGACATCAAAAATACCATTTAATACGTGGTTTAAGATTATAATGCAGTGTTGTGTAGATTTGATGGAAAACATTTTCATATTTTATAAATTTATTTGTAAATAAAATTATTTAACTTGCAAATTTTTAACAATTTTTTAAAAGTAAATAATTTTATTTGTAAACAAAATATAAAAAAAATATGTTATATATTAATATTTATTTCTCAGTTGTAAAGTTGAAATAATTTGATCATAAAATATTTTTTTAAAATAATCATAAACAAGTTTTAGTATTTAGGTATATTAAAATTATGAGCTCATTTAAAAACGACTCTTGTTATTAGCTTACAATTATGAAAATTAGAGATCTGCAAATTACGGCCAGGCCCGTGCCCGACCTGAGCCCGACCCAAAACCCTTGTCTATTTTTAAAAAATAATTTTTATGGGCTAGATAGGGCTTAATTTTTTAAATATGATATTACATTCTGACAAATAAATTGATATATTCTTGAAAGAAACAAGGTGCTAATATATTTTATTTGTACAATTTTTTAATAAAAAAAAATCAAATTTTTCTATATTTTAATAAATTCAGGGCTAGCGGACAAATAATTTTAATTTCGAGTCAGGCTTTTCGGGGCAAATAAAATCAAATCGATCGGGACGGGGAGGATAAATTTTTATAAAAAGATTTCGGGTCGGGCTTGAAAATTAAGGCCGATACAGATCCTTAATAAAAATGGCTTCGGTTTTATTAAGCTTAGAGTTTATATCGGCTCTAAGCCTAACTTAATAAGAGGAACGGTCAATTTTGCGGCTTATGTCTAATTAGCGCTTTTTACATAATTAACTCGTGAGGCGAGATGTATCTAGTTGAGTGTGGGTGAATGAACATACAGGAATCTATCTTAATTTCTAAATCGCTAGTGGAAACTAACATTCAATGTATTATAGCGTCCCGTTTCTATTTAAGACACAAACAAATAAAATTAAACATTTATGTTAATTTTTCTTTATAAATGAGTGAAATTAAATATGATAATCTTGACCAACAATACTAGAATATATTACTCTGGACTACTTAATAATAATAGTCACAAATAAATGCTTAAAAAAAATTTTACAAATTAATAATTCAAATTTTGATTGTGCTTATTATTTCAAATAATGTATTTTATTGGTAACGTGCATATTGGCAAAAAAAATTTTTTGTCCTAAAAAAACACCTCATTCTTGTTTTTTTAGATATTATTTTTAATTGAAAAGGAAGCATTTTTTTTAAAAAAAAACAAAACGCTTAACCCGCTCAATTTACAGGCACCATTAATTATTTTAATTTAAAAAAAAATAATTAACTAAAATCTTATTTTAAAGTTTATAAATTAAAAAAAAAATTATTATCGAATTGATAATAAATTTTCAAATTACAATTATGATATTATTTCATTTAATTATATAATATTTGAAGAAGTTCCAAGCATTTCTTAGTTGTGATGTGATAGCTTTTCGAGCCGGAATTGCGTAGTTGAAATCTCAGGAGGGTACCTTTTCAGCCAACATATATTGTCAGTATCCATTTTATAATTTAGTTATCAGTGAACATGAGAGAGTCCTCAGCGTTTAACTTGGATGTGGGTCAAAAGGACCTGCAAATGCCAGTCGATTTTAAAATTTAAGCCCAGCCAACTTTGATATATTTTTAAAAAAATTTGGGTCTGGTTTCGGGTCAAATTGCAGGCTTCTAATAGCTCCTCGGGTCAAATCTATTTTTACCAATTGATTAGTCTTACAAGTAATAACGTCACAATTTTATAGTCAATTTATTTATATAATTAGTTTTAAAAAATTTTATAATAATAAAATCAATAATGTCGTATATAATAAGTGATATGTACAATATTAGGAATAAAAGTGTACATATATTTTTTTTTTATTTTGAAAATCAATCATACATGGGTATGAGTAAAATTCCCGATAAATTTTCCGAAAAAAAATATTTAAATGTATTTAAATTTATTTTATAGAATAATGGTGTTATATCGAAATTTTTAAGTCTAGACATCCTAGTTCTTGGCCTCGTTGATACACGTAAGCTAATATCTCAAATTGACCCTAAATCAAAGGGAGAGGGCGCAAAATTTTAAAAATGTTTGATATAAAATCTTTATGGCAATTTAAAATTAGATATTTAAGGGCAAATGAATTTTCTGTACCCTTAGAAAAAATAAATCCTATAAATTTTGGTGTATTTTTATATACTATATTAATTTGACTTTTATTTATTACCAAAGTGTAGAATTGAACATTTTTTGACCAAAATCTAGAAAATGTAAAAAAAAATAATATTGGTGATAAAAAACTTCCAATTTCTGAGCAAAGATTGTAATTAGATTGAGCATCTTTAATTAATAATTATATTATATATTTACATATTTTAGAATTCTCATTAAGTTCGCAATTTAATCTTGTATATCTTAGTGGCAATGTGTTTTACCCGGAAATGTGTTATTTTTTCAACTTTCAATCATTTTTTGAGCGCGTTTTTAATTAAAAATCAGATTTTACGGGAAATGTATTCCATTATTTTTGGATTAGACCTACCCTATGATTTTCAGACAATTTTATCATGAATTTTTGAACTTAATAGAATTTATATTAGTTTTTTCAAAGATTTTTCGCATAAATTATAAATGACTTGAGTATCGGTAAAATTATCTACTATTCATAATATAGGTATTTTAAACATGCAGGAATACATTTTCGGTAATATTATATTTTTAAATTTAAAAAAAACGCGCTCAAAAAAGGATTTAAAGTTAAAAAATTAAAACATTACCGGAAAAAACACATTACCGCTAGCATATATAGATATATATATTATTTACTTCAAGAAAAATTTTTCTTAAAATTAATTAAAAATATTTTTGTAAATTTTAAAAAATATATATTTATTTGTATTCGGAATCACCATCAAATTTGCAGTTTAATGATATATATCGATATATAATATTTAGTTTTAAAAATAAATTTAACCTTTTCAAGTTATTTTTAAAACCTATACATCATTAAACTGTAAATTTGTTGATGATTCTGAATATCTATAAATTCCTATATTATTTTAAAAGTTAAAATTTAATTATTAGTTAATTTTTATTTTTTTCTAAAACCAAATATTCGATGTATACATCTTTAAATTGCAATTTAAGGCAGATTTTATATATATATGAATTCTATACTTTATTAAATTTTACAAATATATTTTATTAATCAAATATTTTTTTTTATATATATCATTAAACTGCAAATTTAATAAGGATTCTAAATATGTAATATTAATTAAAGATGCTCAATTATCCAGTTAAATTTTATGCTCAGAAACTGGAAGTTTTTATCAACAATATTATTTTACATTTTCTATATTTATTTACATTTTCTAGATTTTGTACTAATTTTTTTAAGATAATTTTTAAAACGTTTTCCATTTTATAGATTTTGGGGTATAATTATTATATAACTGTTATTGATTAACTTAAAATTTAGGTTTTTAAAAAAAAATAAAATAAATAGTTATTACCTACGGAGATGCACCGATACCACTTTTTGTGATACATACACTCTGAATGAGATATGGAATCTAGTTGGATTGAGAATCTTATATTTAAATCATTTACTGATGGCGATATTTTAAATTCGAATAATCTGGTTTGGCTGGATATCTATTCTATTTTAATGTGTATAGAAAGCTCACACTATGAATTTCAGACAATTTTCAGGTAACTTTTTTTTCACTATTTTAAAATTAATTTTATACAGGTTTTGCCTGAAATGCAGAGCGGATACCTTATACATGCTGGAATACATTTTCGGACAAATCAGTTTTTTTTTAAAATGCCCCCAGTATAATTTTTAGAAGCTTTTAAGATTTTTCTTCCTTATTATACTTTAGGATTGTATTTTTTATAAATATAACAAAGTATTCATTTCTTAGACATATTTTTAAGCTAAAAAAAATTGGCTAAGCACGAGCTAATATTTGCTCAAACCGATTTTTTTGGCTAATTCTAAATTCGAATCAATTTATTTTTGGTTTGGCTTAGGTTAAAAATAATATTTATGATATTTTTTACACTTCTGAATTTTAATTTCGTTCATTTTATCTAAAGCATATTTTATATAATTTATTTTATTCCATTATATTTTCATCAAAAAAAATCACAATTTTCACATTTCATGATTACATTATGCTTAATATTATACTAAATCATATTTTAGTATATTTTTAACCATTTTCATAAAAAAAAATTGAAAAAGTTTTAAAATATCTTTTATGGCAATTGTCACATAGATCATATTTAAAATATAAATGTTAAAAATTACTATTATGACAATTGTAACCTTTCCAATTACCTTTTAAATTACACTAAATTATATTTAATATATTCATTTTACCTATTCCCATAAACAAAAATTGAAAAGGTTTAAATAAACAATTATGTCACTCTTCTACAATACATTATAAATAAACCATATTTAAAAATTGATTTTTACTTATTTTCTTTAAAAAATAATTAGCTCAGACTTAGCCGTAGTCGTAGCCAAAAAACAAGCTAAGACTTATTCTTTAACCAAATAAAATCAGTTAATGAGAAAATCGATCGGATGATATAATAATACTAACAATATTTTTACTATACGTTATTTTTAAAAAAAATGTTTAATATTATTTTACAGGAAAATATGAATTTATACAAAATCTCATCGAAAAATTATTCAACTAACCTTTAGAGGGTTAAATAATTATGTATCATCAAAAATAAATGGATCAACAATGCCGACTTTGGGTATCGGTGCATCTGTGATCACCTCACCTATTCTTAAGATGCGGCATCAGAAAAAAATTTAGATTTGTATAGAAATTGAACAAAATAATTTACTGATATATAAGACATATAATTCGATGGAATTTCAATGTCAACGTTCCTCAAACCATAAGTGCCTCCGAGGATAGGGCAATTGCACGGTATATGGGCATTCCAGGAGGAATTATAAGATTTGTAAGCATGGCAATAGGGTTCAACGTAGTCTTTCAATAGTTTACAGATTTGGTACGTGCTTAGATATAAAATAAGCATTCTTAATATCCATCAAATAATAGAGGAGTTAAAAATCAAAAACTTTAATTTTCATGATATATGCTTCGCAATGTATTAACTAGAGTTTCGTAACCAGAACACGGAACCAGTCGGAACAAATCTAAGAATAGGAATCAAACCTCGGAACCCTTCCTTAAATTTATAGAAACCTAGAACCGGTTTTAAGACTGCAGCTATTTTATATTAAATCTTACTCAAAATGTTTATGTAACTCATTGATGGTCTAAAAAAAAGTTCGGGTTTCAATTCCGAATATTTTTTTAAAAATTGGTTGCCCCTTCCAGTTACCTACAAATGGTTCGGTTCTTAGATTAGACGCGATACCAGATTTTGATTCCGAAATGGAAACTTTGTTAATAAACAAAAAATTATGGATAACCGGTTCCTAACATTTCTCCTGGTTCCTAGGTGTTCTAATTTTAATTCCGATTCATATTTGAATAATAATCTAAATATTCATCTGAAATTAATAATTAATTTATCAGTTATATACTACCGAGATAATCATGTCTAATATACCTAAGCTCAAAAACAAAATTAGATTTACACTTTCTAAAACTAATATACATGCAAAAGAAATTAAAATTAACCATGAACCCACGGGAAAAGGATCTAAGGGAATGCATGGAACTTTAATAGTAATAACCCAAACTATTTTTTTCCTGATTTCAATTTTGAGTTCCAGGTCATTGTATATATTGTAAGTTTCATAATTTGTCTGAGTGTTCCAATTTCCGATTTCAGAGAGCCCATTACCAAACGTTAAATTGAATTCCTTGATCCTGAGAAACGTTTTTACGGATCTCTTTTTCTTACCCACACCTTGCAATATAAAAATGAATGTGCAGTTAATTTAATATTTAGCTCATTATAATATATCTTTAATGTGTAAATTGTAAAAAAAACCGCGAAAAACGGGAGAAATAAATATAAATATATTATCAAATTTATATTGAAATGCATTTCAAAATAAAAAAAAATATTTGTAAAAATTTTTTTTTTCTATCCTATTTATAATTAAGTAATTGAATATCTGATATTGATTAAATTTTGTGGAATGGTGTGGATCGTACAAGGGATCCGCGTAATGATGGTTAAGAATATTAGTTCATGGTTCTGTTTCCATTTGTAAGAAAGATTAGTATTGTTTTAGTTTGAATCTTTTATAAACGTATTTGAATTATGTAAAGAGAAGTCCATTTTTTCCATATTAAAATATTTTCAAGATTCTCTTCTGTTAAATTATTTAAAATTATTATATAAAACAGGCCGTAAAAAGTTATACTCATAACAACGCTAAATATTTACATATAATTTTCCGAAAACATAAAAATAAAACATTATATATATTATACATATATATATATATATATATATATACTAAACTATTTATTAAATAAATTTAGTAAATATTATTTCCCATCCAGGATTAGATCTAGCCTAATTTTAAGTATAAATTTTAGGACAGTGCAAAATTCTAAACACTAGCAAACTAACTATGCAAGGGTAAAGGGGAATCTTTCCTAGGTTTTCACCGGTCAATTTTGTCGACTCATAAATTTATATTATAACGCCTAATCCCAAATAGGGAGCTAAAATGGGGAATGTAAGATAAGACGGAAAGAATATATATTTCTAAGGTATGGCTCAAACAAAGCTAAATATAATATTTCTCAACAACTTTGAATTTAACGTATAATTCATAAGCTAAATAATGTGCTTTATGTTAAAAGGCAAAATCAGGTTATTTTTCGCTTAGTTCGGAAGGTGCTTAAAATCAATGCCAATGCTGACCAGTAGTGACATTATGCCGACGAGGCTTATATTAAAATAAATTTACAAAAAAAATCTATCTTTGACAATTTTAGATAATAATATTTTTTTAAATGAAACAAACCATTCTCATCCGGCAGAGTACGCACTAATAATCTATTATCTTTGTAGGCTCGAATCGATCTTTTAAGGCTTCCGTTGCTTGGTACTTCGACGTCATTTTCTATGATATATTTAGAGCTCCGACGGGACCCGAACTTTTTATTGAATGAATAATTATGGTTCTTGGAGAAATAGAAAGCGGTAGCGACTTTGTGGAAAAAAGATTCCTCATGAAGGGGGACGTTTTTGTCAAATTCTAACTCAACATGATCGAAATGGACATAGTTTTGGGTGCGCGAGGCGTGCATAAGTGAGTACTGGGTCGATTTGCCTGTTTGCATTGTAATTCATTTAATTTAAAGAGGGGAGGGTGGGGGTAATGAAATGATAATAGTTAAAAATATACCGGTGTCATAGTTTATTCCAATCTTTGTGAGTAAAAGAAGGGATGAAATAGGAAACATCTAAGCAGAAGATTATCAGAAGTTTATCTTACTTTCTAATTAATTATTATAATTAAGGGCTCATAAAAGCAAAACAAAAAACCATATTTTTTTGTTTTGAAATTCAAATAAAATGTTTTGAATCTTATCCCTTGATTAATTATTATATAAAATAGAGTTTAATAGCACAAAAAAATATTTTTTATTTAATGAGAACCGGAAGAACTCCAACCAAATGATATTCATATATTATTCACACATAATGCACAATATAATCATTAGTGAGAATAAAATGCGTCAATTTTACCATCAAAATGATCAGAATTCTAAAAAACCTGGGCCAAGTTTAAATGTAAATTACAAGCCCGGGCTTGTCCTTAATCTGGACTGGGCCCAAATTTTTTATAAATAAAACAATTTACTAGTTGGAAAGAAAATCATATGATTGTTTAAATTCATTGCTCATATCTTTAATTTCCTATTGAAACAAGTTTACAAAATACAGTCAAAATTATTTGGAATAACAAAATTTTAGAAAATCCAGTATGGGTCGTAAAATGACCAAAATTTATAAAACCGGGTCGAACTTTAAAAATCAGCCTATGAGAATCTCTGAAAATAATAAATTAAAATAAGTTCACAAACCCCACCCCTTTATCCCATATAAAACAAAATTACAAAAATATGCCTACCTCGTAAAATATTAAATAACATATATAAAAAACCAATGCTATTAATTTTAACTAGACTAACGATTCATTCATTCATCATTTATTTATTTATTCACTCATTCATTAAAAGAATGCCATTCAGTGGCGTCTACTACCTTCAATGTAAGATATACTATTTTAATAAGTGAAATCATCGTCTATGTTAGCATTAAATGTCATTGAAAAAAAAAATCAAAAAATCATTTTTTTAAAGTAATCTGTTTTAATATTTTTCTATATACATGAAAGAGATTGAATTTTTTTAATTATTGGCTAACCAGAGGAGATGGGGGGGGGCAAAGGGTAGAGCGAGAAATTAGTCTTACAGAAAATTTCACAATTAAATTTCTTCCACCAACACTCCTTCTCGCTACCCTCTCCCCAAAAAGTTGGTTTTTTTTTAAAAAAAAAGTGAAAACCTAAAATTATTTTTTTGAAAATGTAATCCGGTCAAAAGACCTTCAAAGATGAAGCTTAAATACATCCAAATAAAAATTTCTTTGCGAAAATCCTGAATATACGCCCTATGATTTTTATATTATATTAATTATTTAATCTCATCATCCTGCTTTAAGCTATTATTTTTTTCGAAAGCATTTATTTTTTACAATCTTTTAAAAAAATTCATGATTACAAAAAAAAATCACAAACATTAAGAAATAAAAATTATAAGATAAAAAGGTTAAATATTTTACAGTAGAGTATAATATTAATATTTTATTTTTTAGATAAGCGCATGCGTGAGGCTACATGCGAGTTTTTTTCTTATTTTAATATGAGCATTTCCCCATCACCCTAGAGAAATTATATTTTCTATTCCTGACAGTCAAAAATAAATATACAAATTAAAAAGTAGATCTCAAAATATATTATTTTAAAGAAATTCAGAAATTTCTTAATTTTAGATAGAATTAACTCTTTTTCTTCGTTACTAATTTTGGAAATTGAAGAAGCTAGCAAATGCCGCTAAAAAATATAGATTATTGATATGAAAAATAAAATGAACCACAAATGGGATAAAAGGGGTCAAATAAAAATGAAAGGAGATAAAACCATTTGGACACCTAAATTGTAATTATGATATTATACCAAAGTATTAAATGGATGTTAAAAGAGGGAATTTTTTAGTCCACCAAAATGTTACAAAAGATGGACCATAGATAAAGGGTTACGTAACTTACTGCTAAATCTTAATCCACCTCGGTCTTACTGATTTATACTAGTTTTCCACAAATTTAAACTTTTCATAAATTAATTATTCAAAGGTGAGATTTTTAGGAAGTTTAAAACATCATTATTTTATAAATAAAACTAAAAATGGATATTCGCAGAAGATAGTGCATAATAAGTGTAGATTATGGTTATTAATTTTTTTTTTCGCTCTACTGAAATGACGTTTAAAGATTTTTCAAGATATTAGTAACTAATTTTTTTTATAAAAATAATAATAATATAAATCACATATGGTTTTCTCGACTTACAGTAAAATTAAAATTTTTATTTTTTAAAATTAAAAAAATAAGGGTAAAGAAAGTAGAATAATATGTCAGTCCAACGTTTTTTATGTCAAGGTTTTTGCATTTGCATTGGGAGAAAAATAAAATATTGAAAGATTTGTATGTAACCTAAAACAAACGTTTTTAAATTTTTATTTTATGAAATAAAATTAGTAAAAAAAAGAAGCAAGATTACTTAAAAATTTAAAAATGATGTTGTGGATACCCTTATCTTTTTTACTCCATCACTTGAAATTGGGTCTGCTATATATTTTGTAAGCGTGATATTCTTACTGTACATCAAAAGTCATGTAGGGTTCGTAACAACGATAGTAAAAAGGCGGTCCTGTCCGAAGTTCGGAAATAAATATTGTAATATTTCATTTTATTTTTTTTCTGCCTAATTTTATATTACAAAATAAATTTAAAAGGATAAGAAAAGTTTTCCAAAAAATCAAGAGGAGGGAAATACTTCACTCATATTCATGTCATATTTTGTTGTTAGGATAAATATTAAATTATCAGATTGCTGAATTAAATTTTAAGCACAACCTTAAAATAGAGAATAAATAAAAAAAAATTGGAGATATAATTATTTCCTATATCCATAGAAGAACTTAACATATTTACCACTGGTCTTTGGGTGGGTTTGGAAAAAATGATTTTGTAATCCTTATGCCTAATAATTTGATGATCGTGTGTCTGGAACTTAAGCTATGAAAAATAAGAGATGAGATAATAGAGGATGTTGAGACATATATCATATTTTAGTAGAAAAAAAACAATATACACAGAATGAAAGAAAGAAAAGAAAGAAAAGTGTTGACAACCAATAGAAATTTTCCAATGTTTATTATACAACTCAATTTAAATTTTTATTTTATTTGTATAATTTATAAATTTTAGACTAAATTTCGCATTCAAGCTCAAAGTTAAATGTATTCTTAATTTTTTAGATTGTATTCTAGAAGAATTCTTTGAACTGGCAGGTTTAAGCATGCAAAAATATAAAATGTAGATAATTATTTTTTTTAAAAAAAGGTTCGGGTGATAATATTTTCTTGATGATATAGGTAGAGCATTATAAATATAATGTTTGAAGATGTCAATTTTAAGACCTAAAGACATAAAAAAAATATGGAATAATATATATTTAAAAAATTACAATTTAACAATATAAATACCTACCAGTAAGTGATTTCTATTAATAAAAATTAGCATATTCCTAAAAAAAATTAAAACAAGATATATAAAAATTATTCTTCCCGGTAAATTTCCTTAATAAAAGTATATATTGGCGTACGCAGCATGGGGGGAGGGGCAGGGAGACAACCCCCCTCCCCCTCCCAAAGACAAAAAATGCAGATGCCTGATATATTTTTCAAAAATATTATTGTTTATATTAATTTATATTTGTTAATATTTATTCGTATCCCATATTAAATATATATTTTATTACATTTATTATCACATTCATAAGTTATTTTATCAATTAATTTCGATTTCAAGTTTTCCGGCGTAATATTTACTTATTATTTTCAAATTTTTAGTGGCGTAATATTTATCTACCATTTTCGAATTTCTAGTCAAATAATAATTATTTCTGAAACTTCTGGTCCAACAGGGAAAAAGAAATTGCATTGTCCAACGAGATAGAGCCTCTTCTATCAAGCACTAACAGCTATTAAGGAGTTAGAATAGCCAATTATTTGCTATTACTGAAATATCACAATGTGAAAGAAATATTTCCTCAGAAGCAAGAAAATTATTGGATTCAATGCTTATTCCAAATTTTATTTCTCATTAGAATGTATTATTTAATTATACAACTATTTTAAGTATTACTTTTCAAAACATGACATTGATTTGATTAAGAAGATGAGAAGCGGAGAGCATTTTATCAGAACTCAAGGAAATTAGGGCAATTGTTGATGAAGAATTTCATATTTTATTGTTGAGTCAAAAGCAGAGCTATACGTGTTTAATATTTGTCTCCCTCGACTTGTAGCAAGGCAAGATCATCGTTACATTAATATAGGATCAGTAGAAGAGTATATTTTAGATGCAGATACATAACCCAAATAAATGAATTTTTAATTCATCATGCAGCACTTACATCTGCAAATATTACTCCCACAAAAGCCTTCTCAACCTTTTTCAGATGGTGATAGAAAAAAGATTTGTTAGATTTTTATTATGAAGATGTTAAAGTATCTTATGATGCCTTACTAGCTGAATAACTATGTTTATAAGATTAACTATAGTTGATATAGTCCTAAAAAATGCTATGGATGCTCTGCATTATTTCAAACACATTTTAGATTAAATTCCCAATGTATTAAAAGGGTTTATAAACTCTTCCCATTAGTAAACTAATGAGAGAACACTCTCTTTTTTAAGAAGAATAACAGAGGCCTGCAGAAGTACCATTTGCAGGGCATGGCCCGGATTTTTTTTAAAGATTTTTTAATGCCCGGCCTGGGTTTTTTTTAATTTTCAGGCCCGGCCCGGCTTTTTTTAAAAAATTTTTTAGGCCCGGCTCGGCTTTTTTTTAAATTTTCAGGCTCGGATCGGCTTTTTAAAATTTTAAGGCCCGGTCCGGATTTTTTTAAAATAAATTATATTTATTTTTGATTTTTATAGCTAATAATAACGATTTCAAATATAGGCTGTTTTAAAAAATACAGACCGGCCTGGGTGTTTTTTAAAAAATAATTCAGGCCCGGCCCGGCTTTTTTTAAAATTAAATTTTCAGGCCCGGCTCGGATTTTTTTATAATAAATTTTATTTATTTTTGATTATAGCTAATAATAACGATTTCAGATATAGGTTGTTTTAAAAAATACAGCCCGGATTGGGTGTTTTTTTAAAATAATTCAGGCCCGGCTTGGGTGTTTTTTTAAAAATTTCGGGCCCAGCCTGGGTATATTTAAAAAATTAAAATACTCTCCAGCCCGGGGGCCGGGCCTACTCTGAAAAACATACCAAGAAGTACAACATCTGAAAGTAGATGGAAAGGTTTGAATCTTTTGAATATTCATAGGCATTTGACGACAAGCAAGGATGAGATAATCGAAAAATTAGCTCAATCACAACGAAGATTGCATTTTATATTGTAAATATATAACATACAAAATGCAATTGTTCCTAAGAAATATTTTGTGTAAAGGCTCAAAAAAATCAAATTTCTATTTTGGGTCATTTAAGTGATTCTTTACATATAATTTTTTTATAAATTCCTGCGTACGCGCCTGAAAGTATATTATAAATTCTTCTCATTTTCTATCCTCGCCCGGATTTTTAAAAAATAATTTAACATTTTAAATCATTTTGGCTGTATTTTTTTGTAAATTGTTTCAAAGAGAACATAAAAAATATAACAGTAAATGTCTGAGACAAGTCTTTTTTTTTCGAAACGGTTTCATATATTTTTTCCCTGCAATTGTTTATTTTACTACAAATAAAGGATAATAATTCAATTTGACTAGTTAATTTTTTTGCATAATATAAATTTATATAAGCAATCTTAGACCTTGCCGATGCTAGTTTTTTTTAACATTATTTATTGCAAAGTCTGTTTGGAAATTAAAATTTATTGAAAACGTTAGGAAACCGCTTTGAAAAAACGACTTATCAGGAAGTGGCCAATGAAAGTTAAATGATCTATTTATACGCTTTACTGGTTAGTATAAATTTTAATTAAAATTATTCTTAGGTGGCTTGCGTTTGTAACTTATTTTCAAGTACAGCCCTGGTTATGAACCCGAATAGGTTCAGGAATTTTAAACTCTATTTAGCAGGAATTTTTATAATAGGTAATCGAAACAGATTCTCTGAAAAGGTCTGAACTCTCCCTCTATCCATATTATCCGGGGTTCGATGCGTTATAGACCTATGTTTGGTCTGTAGTCTTATAATACCCAAATTTTAAATTTCTTAACCCTAATTTGCCTTCGCAACCCTGTCCAGCCCTGATTTAACATTTTACGTCCCATTCTATTTCGGAATTATGAGTCGAGCTCGGAGGCCTGTGATTTCTAGGTTAAAAATTTTCCTAAACTTTAAGTTAATTCTTCATAAATATACATACGATTTCAAATTATATAATAAAGCGCAGTTAAAATTTGCGCATACAAAATGGAAAAAAGTTTATTTTAGAATTGATCTCTAGCCTAATTAGATTATAAAATAATCATTTTTCGTTTTTAAAATATTTTTTAATCTTAAGATGTTTGTATGATCTTTTCGAGTTTTATTCATTTGGATTTCAATAAGTTTAAACTGTAAGGTTTGGTTTAGGCATATAATATGAAACTTTTATTTTCAAATAATACAATATAGAAAGGAGAAATGTTATTAAATATTTTTTGAATTATATAATGAGTCGTTGGCTAGGATGATTTATTTGGTTATGGATAGACTTTTAAAATGATCCAATCGTATGTTTTAAATTAGTGTAAAAAAAATTCTCACTGTCTTTTCATTTAAAAATTTGGTTCAAATCGGGCCATTTACTCTAATAATTTATATATAATTTAGTTTAAAAATTTATTTTTTTAAATAAAATACAAAAATAAATATATATTTCCAAGAATTAGACTTAATAATATTATATATTACCACAATTTCTCCAATCCATTTCAGCGTGAAATCCTTGCAGGCTTAAGAGGAATAAATAGCATACTAAAAAAATGCATATATTAGTCGACCAACGAATGTATCCCCATCGAGATCCATTTCCATTAATTACGCTGGCAGTTTTTGGAATATTCATTACAAAAGTAACTTTTGCTTTTACGATATTTGTTTAAAAGTATCTTGTGAACCTGTTCCCGGATACATCTATAATCTTCCCAATGTGATTATATTTTTTTTTATTAAATTAAACAAAAATGATGGGTAAAAATTTATTTTTTAAAAAAATGGAATAATTCTAATTTGTTTTGTGACTGATAATAAATAAAAAATTGTTTTTGTTTTAATAATTTAGCAAAAAAATAGTTTTCTTTTTTAAAATATATTATTTATAAAAATAAAATCTCTTAAAATAATCTAAATCTAAATTCATTTAAATCCTGCTTCTACCTACTCTTGAGCATATATAATATGCGAAATAGAATAAAAAATGTTACACGAATAGGATTGAGTTTATAAATTTTACAAAATCTCCTTAAAAAATCAGTGATTTAATTTTCATTTTATTTCCTTTTTTTAAGTTTTAATTTATAAGAAATGTGTTAAAAAATATAATGGAAACCCGGGTTACCCATAAGTTGAACAAACAATTTTTCCTTGCATGATACATCATTTTTGTAAGTCTCAATTAGTATTTGTAAATAATACTTTTTTCTTAAATTATTCTTTGGATAAGGTAAAGGATGAGCCTATTATTGAGAATAGCATAAGCACTATATATTAATCGATATTTATTTAACTTTTTCTCATTTCTACAATTTTTATTAATATTTTTTTTAGAAACCAACTCTTTCTTAAAATAAATACTGAATTTATTAATGTTATTTTCGCTTATTTTTCTCACTTTTTTAAAAAAGAAATGCTAAAATATGAGAGAGCATTTAGATCAAATATCATGAGCTCAAATTTAATTTTTGGAAGCCATTATGGTAGAATGGATGGATCATACTAATTACTAACGACATGACTCTAACTCACAGCGGCCCGATCCAGCGGGTTTTATTAAATTTTTAAAATTCACGACGAGCGGGTTGTTAAAAAATTTTTTGAAATAGTAGTTCTATCTATAAAAAAAGTACAAATTATAAAAAAAGTACTAATAATTTTTTTAAACGATATAAAAATTATCAAATTTAACAAATGGTTGACTAGGAAATTTTTTTCTTTGGCTTGTTGCATGTGGGATATTGTTGAAATTCTTTTGGTGAATATAATGTTTAGAAAATGTTATGAAATTTCTAAAACCTTGAAAAGTTTTATAATAGGGGAAACTGAGGATAGTTGAACCGATTTTTGCAAAATCGGCTATAACTCTGATTTTTTTTTAGATATTATAAATGAATAGATATCTATAACTATACTCCATAAAAGTGCCTTATAAATATTTTTAAAAATGCATATTTTGAAATTTTATTTTTTGTAAAAATTGAAATTTAGCCAACAAGCCCCAATAACGGGAATAGGCAAACCACTGCAAGGAGCTTTCTAAACCATTAGATTTTTAAACAATAATGAATTGAAATGTATTTTATTTATTAATAATGATGATACGTATAGTATAATTTTATTGTTCAAAATATCATAATATTTTTAAATTGAAGTTAATTAGATATAAAAATTGAAACTTAATTTTGGTTAATTTAATGAATAGCTAGACAAAGTAAATACTCATAAAACTTTCTCAAATTATAAAAGAGGGGTTTTTTAAAAAAAAATTTCGACATTGGGCGGGTGTCGGGTGTTGAAAAATTTTTCAAAGTAATGGGCGAGCATAGGCGGGTAAAATTTTGATATTTTTCAGGCGAAATGAGCAGAATAGACTTAAATTCATTATAAAATAATAGTTTTATTTCATAATATTGCATATTATATATGTTTAATTAAAAATACATTTAATTAAATAAATAAAGAGCCAAACCAGCCATTAAGATAATTTTTAAACATTAGGCGGGCAGGCGGGTTAAACAAAATTTATAGATAAATGGGTGGGCTAGCGATATTTTTTTTAAAATTATAAGTAAGGCGGGTTAAATAAATTTCAAAACAACGAGTGGGCGGGCTTTTTGGTTATAATCCAGCCTATTGCAGACCTCTAGTGTCATTCCCGGTCTCTCAAATTCAATTTTATGTCATACAATAATATTTGATTGTATAACTATAATTAATAACAAAAAATCTACTAAGTTATATAAATGCATGGTCAGTATTCATTTTAATATACGATGGGAGTTTATTTAATTATTTTTATTTTTAATCTGATTAATTGAATCTGAATCCATTGCGGATTAATATTTCAACAATCAATGAAAGGAGATTAAAATAGTTGTTGATCATTGATAATACCACAAGCTGTTAAAGTAATAAAATTGCAATCGATAATGAGGGGTATCTTTATTAAAAATTATCTACTATTGTTTTATAAATGAGTGAAATAATCAATATTTTAGACCTTTTATTATATGGTTTCCCCCATTTTACTACACGTGTATTATAATAGTGGGAAGGATCTAAACTAATATATTATAAGACCATTTCCAAACAGCACTTTTTTTCAAAGCGGTTTTTGGGTTATGTTACCAGCAATTATTTTTTTATTTCCAAAAAAATGTTAAATTTTAGAATTAATTTTTTATATATATAATATAATATTAGAAAAAGAAAACAATTCCGACCTAGCCATTTAATCGTTATTAAAATCAAACCAGTTTGTTTTCTATTTACGGTTAAAAAAATGGGGATCTAGTTTTAAAAACATAATATTAAATAAAAAAAATTAATTCGATAAGTTAACATTTTTTTGGAAATAAAAAATTAATTGCTGGTAACATTACCCATAAACCGCTTAAAAAACGTTCTGTCTGGAAATGGCCTAATTATAAAACCCAGAGCTTGGAAACAAGTTTCAGGGACAATTGCTTATTCCTCAGACATTATCAGGAGCGTAGTCAGCGGTAGGTGGGGGGTTCTCCCTTGTATCGTTAGATTAATATTTGAAGGGGAGTATGATGATGCCATAAACTTAGTTTTATTAACATTTATTTTTAAACCAAAAAAACCAGCAGCTTGGATAACCATATCCACTAGCAATTGAAGGTTTGATACAGAATCTCCCATAATGCAAAGATCATCAGCAAATGCAAGAATAATTTCGCTATAGATATCTGAACCACGCATTGTTTAGTCACGCTCTTTATGATATAATTTGTAATTAAATTAAAAAGAAGAGGAGAAAGGACACATTCCTGTTTCAGACCTATCTTAAGAATTTTTGATGATTTATGACCTGCATGGATCCCCCGTATTAAATATTTTTTGAAAGAAAAAAGGATTTCGCGAATTGTGAATTGTAAAATATTCTATTTCAAATAGGTTATATTATATTCTAAATTTTAGCAAAAAGTTAAAATTACTTTAAATATTCATTCCTTGTATATTAATATTATATCTCACGAAAATTTAAAGTTTATTTTCGTACATTTTTTAAACCTCAAACACTGATATAAGAAAATTTTATCAACCCAAAAAAATTCTATTTAATTTCTTTACTATTAAATAAGATTTGAAATTTCTAGAGTGTATAAAATGTTCAGATATCCCACAGAATTTCCTGAATATAAATATTTCTGAGATTTCTTGTGCTTGAGGAAGAAAGAACTGTAAAGGCAAGTCCAGCAATATGGACATCAAGCTGTTACAGCATTTTTAGGATCTAGAAGAACCTATTTTAAGTGCCCTTATTTAATATGACTGCTGATTTTTTTCATTGGAATGTATTAGAGTTATAAACGAACGCGTTTTGAACGCGTTCGTGAATGAAGTTCGTTTTTTTGGAAAAAATGATGAACGGCGTTCCTTTCATTTTTGACGAACTTTGAACGTGAACGCGTTCCTTTTAAGAAGAACGCGTTCGAATTTAACGTTCGTTCAATTTTAAAAAACACTTTTTATATTTATTTGAAAAATTTAATATTAATCCGAAATTTTTAAGAAATAAGTCTTATATTTTATAATCAGCTGTTTTTCCTTTTTCCTTTTTCACATTTCAATTTTTTTATTACGTCATTATAATAGTTTATTAATCTGGATATTATTGTTTATATTTTAATTTAATATTAATCCGAAATTTTTAAGAAATAAGTCTTATATTTTATAATCAGCTGTTTTTCCTTTTTCACATTTCAATTTTTTTATTACGTCATTATAATAGTTTATTAATCTGGATATTATTGTTTATATTTTAATTTAATAGATTATTATTATTTATTTCATCATCGTCATCTGATTCTGTAAATTCAAAGTCAGATAAATTATATTACCATGGCCAAGTATGATAAATATTTTACAGTAACATCCTATATTGAAGGAACTAATTCAATACTTACCAAATGTAAAATGTGTTCAAAAAGTATTATATTAGTGTCAATATCTTCAAGTTCCAATTTAAAACGACATTTGATTGTAATATTAATTATTTTATATAATATAATAAAATCATTAAATTTGAAGAATAAATGCATTTGGACTATTTGACCCTAACAATAACGATAGTTATTTTAAAATTAAAAAAATTAGTGGCCTAAAATAGGATCAACAATTGATAGACACAGTATTAAATGGGATTAATAAAGTGTATTAAACCTATCACTATCAAATTAATTACATATATTTTATTTTTTTTAAAGATTTGAACATATATATGAAGATCAATATGTTTTTTCTGCAACTATACATCCTATTCAAGCATCAATGGCCATGAATACAACTTTCACAGACAAAAATAAACTTATAGCATTATTGAAAAAAATGCATAGAAAACCCTAGAAATGATAATGCAAGAACTGTTAATTTCGAGATACCCTTTTTTTGACGAGGAAGTAGAGGATGGTGGCATATCTCAATTTTTTACAAAGAACAAAACAACAAATATTTTTAATAAATTCCCCACGTTAAAAGAGTTGTCTATTAAATGTAATACCGCAATCCCCTCAACTGCTCCTGTAGATCGCGTTTTTAGTATAGCTAATGCCGTATTAACTGCCAT